AAACAAAATCGTGACATCTCTCGTTGTCATCATATTCCTCTATCTCATAACTCTCGTCAGACGATGATAAGATAGATTCCGGGTCGATTTCCGAGCACTGCATGCGTATAGCAGCCATTGTGAAACGATGACAAGTTCCCCCCGTGACGTCACAAATCACCCTTGCATGCTAATTAGGTTCGCTGGTTCCTGGCGTCCTTTGCGAATGGCAGGTAGGACGCAGGTAACTAGTAATCGCCATATTGTTCCATTTGGGCCGGTTTTCAGGCCGGAAGGAACGCGACTGGGTGACGTAATTTGAAAACATTCCAAGTTCCGTTTTGCGTAAACGCGTCTGTAATGCTACAATAAAGCCATGCTCATACATACTGCCTGCTTAGATTTACAGATTTGATATGTTCTGTGCTAATTTATAACAAAAGAAACAATTCTTTTTATTCGCCCAACTTTCGAAAGCAAAAGGAAACCCCTGAACGGCCACGAGCGTAAGCGCTGACGTCAGGTAACTAAGGGAAATGGAACAAGCAACGAGAAAGTGATGTACCAATCAGAATGCCGGAACCGTTACAAGTTACCGGCCTCTTGTGGCTTGGTACGCCATGACACTTGAGGCGGGAACCAGCCAAGCTAATATGAGGTTCTCTAGCTGAAGCCTCGTTCTGAGTCGGCCAAGAAATTGGACGTGGACGTTTTTTTTTATCCAGAACATTATTATTGATAGTTTATTTAATTTATGTACATTTTTCACTTGTTTTTTTTTTTTCATAATGTTGTTTATAAATAAATTTTGCACACAAAAAAGTAAATTGTTCCAATTCAGTTACACTTTAAAGGGCAGAAGTCTTCGCGCCACGCATGTGCGAGATATATGTGTCTCATATAAACAAAGATGGCGACTTTGACTGTTGCGCAGATGAACGAATACAAACTGAAACGTTGCCAAGCTTTAATTAGGTATATTTTAGGTGATTAGAAGATATCGAAGGAGTCGCGGGCGGTAATTAGTGCAAGTCACGCCCAGGTCAAACCTCATACTTGTGATTTCCACGAGAAGAGCGCATTGGATTGTGGGAAAATCAATGTTTATCAACACAAATGTTGCACATGCTCAGCACATAAAGCCATCTACAGTAAATCTGGAGGCATAGCAGTGGCTGGACATAAAGCCATCTGCAGTGAATCTGCACAGAGCGGCCTGACGTAAAGCTGTCTACAGTAAATCTGCACACAGTGGCCTGTCGTAAAGCTGTCTCCATTAAGTTTGCATGCACAGTTTGTCCCACAAGCATAAAGTAAATCTGCACACATAGCAGTGGCCTGACGTAAAGCTGTCTACAGTAAATCTGCACACAGTGGCCTGTCGTAAAGCCGTCTCCATTAAGTTTGCATGCACAGTTTGTCCCACAAGCATAAAGTAAATCTGCACACATAGCAGTGGCCTGACGTAAAGCTGTCTACAGTAAATCTGCACACAGTGGCCTGTCGTAAAGCTGTCTCCATTAAGTTTGCATGCACAGTTTGTCCCACAAGCATAAAGTAAATCTGCACACATAGCAGTGGCCCGACGTAAAGCTGTCTACAGTATGTTTGCATGCATCGTGGTTGTCCCATAGCAAGAATACCATACAAAAAGAAAAACAAACTTTATCTTCTTCTGTTTATAATTTTATTTGCACAAACATGTACATTATTCTGAAAAGAGAGCATTTTTGTTTCTGGCTTGATTAATCGTCTAGAGAGAGACGTCATGATTTACTAACTTAGGTTGCTCAGTAATCTAATACCTTGTAAAATGCATTGGACAAAAACTTACACCTAAAACACAACTACAACACACCGTACATAAATTTGCATCATTTGACCTGACGAGATCGTTAAATTCCATGCATACAAAGTATAAAACAGTCATGTAATTGCTGCTTACAGTCTATGTGCTGCCCTCTATGTTGAAACAACATAACATGCTGTAAAATGTTCCATGGGGTTGTACCTTGCGCAGATAAACACAATGTGCAGATGGGCAAGATACAACCAAAGATAATTTAACATGTAAGTCATTAATGATCTTAACTACACTGGAAGCATTTTGACTTTCTAAATGCTGGTAATTTATCAGTATTAATAAATGGGGTGCTACAAAATGGAGTCTCAAGAAAGGTGTGAATGGGGGCAAGGAGGTATTATTTACTGTAAACCGCTTCAAGTTCACGAGACAAATTTTGGGAAAATTTTTGAGTTTGTGAAAACTAAATTTTGTAGCAGAGAAAATTTCTCTGCTGTCTTGCAACGAAGTGTGTAAGTAAATTTTGTTTTCAAAAATACAATAAAATTATCAAATCGTATTATTTTCTAAGAGGAAAAAAGGTTTAAAGTAAATTAGCACCACTGAAAGACATGTAAGCATAAATTAACATAAATTAACACCACATATGCTAACATATCACCAGCTGCTGACATGGTTTCTTTATCTATGGAGACTTTCAGCAGGGGTGGTAAAAGAACATCTGAATTCTCCCTACATGATATACTTGGATATATTTGGTAGAACTGTCAAGGCTTGTAAGTAAATACAGTATTCTGACGAAACACGCATAGTTATTCACATCACATTTCACACACTGATCAGTTTGTTGGAATGAATTTAAAAGAAAATTCTCCAACACGTCAGGAATTCAATCAAGTCTGTCCAATAATGCCAGAATGCAGTCTTGAAGTAAACCATTACTATATACAGACACTGCCATAATACTACCTTAACACCTTGTAATTACACATGCATTAATATTATCAAAACATACACAAAAATAGGTCTCTACAAGAAAGGGACACTGTCACCAGAAATGCACATTCTTGTTATTCTTTTCACAGGTGGGTTTTTACAGACATCGTGCATGCAAAGGTATACACAGTTCATTCGAACGGGAATTTGGTCTGTGAATTTTAATCAGACTTCAGCAGCCAGTCTGGTATAACAACTTGTCTTGTGTTTTTGTGAACGTCTCATACATACATGCAGTTATGATGACAGTGTGACTTTTAAAGAAATACAAACTAATTTTCAACTCGCTTGCAATTAACATTGAACAGACAGTGGTAGCACTATGTACAAAAACAAAAGCAACTCTCAGTAACTGTAACACTAATTCTTATTTACATAAATGTAATGAGATTCTAGAAAAGTTAGAATTGAGATTTCGGATTTTTAGTTATATCAGCTAATTGAATACGAGTGTGCTCCGAACATGTATACACTGTTTAACGATATAGTCTTGCTTGTTGTAGAATAGGGTTCTGCCAATTGATGACGAAAAAAATTTTCGGGTCACAGCACCAAAATATTGTCATTCGTTTAAAATAGTGTCAGGGAAAACAAATTTGCACTTTGTGAAACATAATCCGAGCACATCAGATCAATTTGTCTCAAAGGTTATGTGTATCTGGAATAATTCCTAAATCAGAAAATATGCTGTTCAAAAGAGCATGTCATGACTGGGTCACCATTATTTTTGGTGGAGGGGAGAGCTTTGCAAGTCAAGGAAGCAAAAACACATTTTTCTCAAACCTTTTCAACTCCAAGAATATTAGCAACATATGGCAAACATTTATATAAAGAGAAAGCAGAATAGCATCCATACCATACAGGCTTTGAAATTATCAAGTTTGTTCAGTCTTCTATAGCTGCTAATTTTGAAATCTTGTTGCCTCTTGCAGGACAAGAGTTGGTAGACTGTGTGCCTTGGGCTTCTGTTAAATTTGATCTGACGCATGATCAGAAAACTGAAAAGCCCTTGGACTATTAAATGC